TAGAGATGCTGACTTGAAGGTTCTACAAGCAAATGGCTCAGCATGTCATCCACAGTGAAGGTCACTGACAAGTCCTTGTCATGTGCTCAGAGTTTCCAATTAGCTTTTTAGTCCCCAGTCTTACATATGAGCAGAACATTCAATGACTACTGAGGAAAACCTCATACATGAGAAAGACCAAAAAAATATCAACCAACCAGCCAACCACAGCAAAACAGAAAGCATCAGTGAGCGGGAAATGTCCAAAACTAAAAGGAAGCAATCATTATTTTCAAAGGAAGAGGGCCAGAACAAGAGGCAAGCACAGGATGCTGTTTAACAAGAGTATTCAGAGAACAAAACATGGTTTGGGGAAATAAAAATATGATAGAAAAAAAGAAAAACTCAATAAAATGTTTGGAAGATAAGCTGAAGAAATATCCCATAAAATAGAGTTTAAAAAGAAAAGAAAAAAAAAAAAAACCAGCAGAGAGTCTCATATGAGGATTTACCTGGTGGTCCAGTGGTTACGACTCTGAGCTTCCAATATAGGGGATGCGGTTTTTCTTTCTTTTTTTGGGGGGTGGGTGGGGGATGAGGTTTTTCGATTCCTAGTTGGGGAACCAAGATTCCACATGCCCCATTCTGTGGCCAAAAAATAAAAAACTAAACAAAAAAAATCATTGTTAAGAAGTTCTATATAGTATGTCAAAGACTAAAAAACAGAAATTCAAGGAAAGGACAACAAAGAGAGCAGAAGAAAGGAAATTTCCCAGAAGATAATGCAAGTTTATTGATTGAAAATATCACCTAAGTGCCCAGAACAGGAGATGAAAATAGAATTTTACACATGTTATTTCAACACAGTAGAGAGAAAAATCATGTTCTACAAATTGTGAGATACAGAGACAGACGCAAAGGGAACGATCACGTACAAAGGTCAGGATACAAATGATCCCGTAGCTCTCAAAGCAACACTGGAAACCTGAAGCCTGACTCCAGTGAGTCCCATATTGGGATATTCATATCCTCATGTATAGAACTTATCCATACAGATCAAACCAGTCAGTCCTAAAGGATATCAACCCTGAATAATCATTGGAAGGACCCAGGCTGAAACTCCAATACTTTGGCCACCTGATGTGAAGAGCTGACTCAATGGAAAAGACCAGATGCTGGCAAAGACTGAAGGCAAAAGGAGAAAGAGGTGACAGAGGATGAAGAGGATGGTTAGATAGCATCACTGACTGATGTGTGGACATGAATTGCAGCAAACTTCAGGAGATAGTGGAGGCTAGAGGATCCTGGCGTGCTGCAGTCCATGGGGTCACTAAGAGTTGGACACAACTTAGTAACTGAACAGCAACATAGGACACGGCTGAAATGATGGTATGTTATGTGTGGTGAGGCGTTCGCAGCATAGCAGAGTCCACCTGGCTCTCTTCTGGATCACTTGTTCAGGGGGAAGTCAGCCACCATGAGTGAGAACAGTCTCTATGGAAAGGTCCACTTGGGGAGGAAATGGGTCCTCCGGATAACCTCCTCCGTAATTTGCTAGTCCCATGACTGAATCATCTTGGAAGCGGACCCTCAGTGCTAGCCACAGCTTTACTGCAGCCTCATGAGTGACCCTAAACTGAACCAACCAGCTAAGTCACTCCTAAGTTCCTGGCCCACAAAAGACATGCTTGTTGTTACTCTTTCAACCTACTTATTGTTTCCACCTGCTACATTTTGGGCTAATTTTAAATGCTGCCATGATAATAATAATGGAAAACAGCAAATCTCAAAATGTTGGAGGAAGATCATTGCCAACATATTTCTATACTCATCTAAATTCTGTACCTATCAGTTAAGCATGAAGATGGATAAAGAGTTTCATGGGTGTCAGATTTTTTAAAACTTTCATCTCTTGTCCCCTTTCTCAGAAAGCATCTCAAGGATGTGCTTCTCCAAACTGAGGGGGTAAACCAAGAAACAGAAAGATACGGGCTCTGAGAGTCAAGAGTGGAATTCCATCTGGTAGTCAGGAGACACAGAACAGACTTTTCAGAAAGATGGAAAAATAAAACACCCGTAGAGCCCAAAGATCCTTTAAAAAGCTTTCTTTCAGTAGTTATTTTTCCTAAATGAATGTGAAAATTAAGCAAATGGAAAAAGCCTCCAGGGAAAGCAAGAAGCTATGCCAGAGATAAGAAGGTATCGGTTTCTTCCCCCCCCTGAGTCTCAGCTGCAAATATTATTTGCATGTTTGTAATGGTGCAAGCACTGAATGTGGAGCCAACTGAGACTGTCATTTAATTGTTGAGAGTGTGGTGGGGGCAGGGAAGCAGAGAACTACATCGTCACCTTCCCAAATGGGAAATTGACAGATTGTGACTAAAACTGACAACAAGCATACTGTTTACAGTCATGATGGTAAATACCAAAATAATCAGTGGAAGAGGTGAATGCGGCTGCCTCTGAGGAGAAGAGTGCGCATTCAAAGGGGCTATTTTTCTCCTAATAACTCATGTGGGAAATATTGGAATCTGTCAAGTGAGGGCAGGGCTGCTTTTAACACCTGAACTTCAGGATTCTAGATAGGATTCTTATTCTATTCTCCATGTCAGAGACTAGACTTGTTCATGGCCCTCTTCTGGATTTCTGGAACTTGAGAAGACTCGACTTACATCTCCACCGAACACCTGCTTCTGCAGATGAGTCTGTGTCCACATCACATCCACCCAGCTGTGGGGTCAGTGCTTTTCCTCAAGGCCCATCTCTTTGAGGTATATACAGACTTCACTCACATTTGGAGAAGTGGAGGGATTTACACAGCAGATACCTTCTGCTTCCAGGTCAGGCTTTTTTTTTTTTTAATTATGTTTTGGATCTTCCCAGAGCAAGGATCAAATCAGAGTCCCCCCCCCCCCCCAAAAAAAAAAAAAAAAAAAAAATCCGAGTCCCCTGTCTGGCAGGCGGATTCTTAAGCACTGGATGACCAGGGCAGTCCCAGGTTAGGCATTCTTGCTGCTTTTTCTGCAATCTGGACCCTTTCTTCTTGTTCCTCTGCCCTGAGAAAGAATTCTGATTTCCACCAGCTCAATGAGAACCATGACATGTGCTCCTTGATGAAACCTTGTAACCGTTGAGAACCATTGCTCCCATTTTACAGACAGGATAACTGAGTCAGGAGTTATATCTAAGTCACAGGCTTCCCTGGTGACTCAGTAAAGAATCTGCCTGCAATGTGGGATACCAGGGTTTGATCCCTGTGTTGGGAAGATCTCCTGGAGGAGAGCATGGGAACCCACTCCAGTATTTTCTCCTAGAGAATTACATGCACAGATGAGCCTGCCAGGCTACAGTCCATGGGGTTGCAAACAGTCGGACATGACTGAGCAACTAACACTTTCAAGTCACAGAGTTAGTGTGACCCAGGTCCAGTATCCCCAGAGATGGAACCCATTTTCACTGCCTTCCTTCATTCCTCTGGTCTTACTCAAGATGGGCCCTCCTGGAGCTTGATCACTGACGGGCCTAAGACGGGGAGGTGGGGCGTGAAGAGTGGAGGTCCAGGCAGACACCCTGCTGGGAGCACCTGGGTGCTCGGGCTGAGCTGCCTCTATAGATGGAGTGGAGCAGCTCCCAGGAAGCCTACAGTCAGGTGTGGCCTTGGGAGGTCACCTGATCTAATGTGGAGTTAATAGTATCTACCTTCCTTCCTTAACTGTCAAGGTTAAATGGATTAAAGCAGGTGACAGGACAGTGCTCCTCAACTGGCTGTCACTAGTCCTCCTTTGCCTGGTACTCACCTTGTAGCCCAGACAAGCCCTGACTTCACTGGGCCTCCCAGGGAGGAAGACCCGGGGTGGAATGGGGAACTCGGCTTGGGGTCAGACTTGCTGACCAGGGATGAACATCAAAATGTGCTCACAGTCCAAGAGCTTCATGACAGTGGAGAAGCCCAGAGAGGGTGGGGACTGGCCTGGGGCCACCAAAGGAATAGATGGCAGAGCCGGACTCCTGTTCCCACTCCCATTATGACTGCAGTCTTAGCCCCTGCTGAGTGGGGACCCCAAAGTGGGTGCCCAGGGTAGGGGTGCAGTTGGGGGGACCCTCGAACTACCACCAGGTTGGAGCGACTCTCTTGTTCTGCTCTCTGCCCCCTCAGTCTCTCAGGTTAACATGTTCCCTGGCCATACCACTGCCGAGGGCAGATGTGGGGCTGGGATTGGTGAGGCCAGCTCTTGCAAGGAGTGAGGACCTTCCTTGCCAATCCTGAGTCAGGAGTGGACTAGAGGCCCCCTTCGCCAATCTGTACCCCATTGTGGTGACTCTGCTCCCACCACCAGAGCCCCAGTCCTGGCAGCCAGGAGGAATGAGGTACCTGCAGGTTCAGCACCTTGGAGAGGGGACAGTCCTGCGCCCAGAGTCCTCACGGGCAGCTGCCCGCACCTGCTTTCTCAGCCTCTCAACCCTTGGGGGAAGTTTCTAGGAATTTACCAGAGGGCATACTCATGAGGAGGGGAGGCAGGATTTGAACCCAGGTCTAAAATCTGAGCCAAGTCAAGGTACCTAATGTGCACGCCCAAGGAATTGGATCCCAACCAAGCTCCAGACAGCTGCCTCTGGGTCACCGCCACCACCTTCCCCAGCTTGAGACCTGGCCCAGATTCTTCTGAGAGCCCTGCTGTGCAGCCCCAGGGGAAGGCAAATCCCTTGATTTTGACAACTACCCAGCCCAGACACCATGGGTCTAACACCACCAACCATGTGTGGGGCTTGGGGATAGAATGATTAAGGGCCACTTCTCTGCACAGACTTGGGCCAGTGTGATGACTGTTGCATCTCTGGGTCCTACAGAGCTCAAGGGGCTGGCCCAAGGTCACATAGGGAGAAGCCTGCCTGCTCCCGTAGCAGACACTTGGAGGCCAGACAGGGGCGCCAACTCAGGGTCTGGCACACAGGAGAACCCACTGATGGCTGAGGTAGCCCCTGCTGGGCCCATCTGAAGTCCAGGGACACACAATCAAGAATTTTGTTATAAATACATGTGTTTGGTGAGTGAGGGGCAACAGAGGTGGGGGAGATGCTGTACACAGCTGGTATAGGTTTGGTGGCTGAACGCCACCCAGAGGAAGACAGACAGTCCACCCGGCAGAGCCAGCCGGACAGCATTCTGGGGCCATGTAACAGTCAGTTGGTGGGCGAGCCAGCAAGGGTCTTGTCCGGGACTGGCGGGACCCAGGTGCCCCAGAGGCTCCCTGTCCGAGGTCATGGGCGGCGTCAGCAGCAGTACCCTGGCTCAGCTCACATCATTCAGGGCCTGGAAGGACACAAGGCCTCGTCAGGAGGAGGGCAAGATGGCCCTTCAGGGAGCCCTGGGTACTCCCTGCCCCTTGGGGTGTGTGGGGGGGTGGCTCACCTTCCGGGCAAACTCAGGCAGGACGAAGGCTGCCCGGTGCACATCGGAGTTGTAGTATTTCAGCTGCATCTCTTCTACCTGCTTCTGCATCAGTGGCTGCAAGGGCTCCCGGAAGTTGGTGCTCTGGGGACAGGGGTGTGTCTCAGAGACGTGCTCTCCTGGGCCCCCTGCCAGGCTTCCGCCACCCCACTCCCCGCCCCCCCCCCCCCCCCCCCCCCCCCCCGCCCCCCGGCCTGGGGGCCAGTCCACTGCGGCTCACTGGGTTCTTGCTGCACAGCATGAAGCCGATCTGGCCGCTGGGGTAGGTGGGGATGGTGCAGTAGGCGTAGTCCACCACTGGGAAGAGAGACTTGCAGAAGTGCCGCATCTCCTTGATGAGGTCCAGGTGCAGCCATTGGCACTCGCCTATGGTGGTGGGGTGGGGTGGTCAGATGATGTCAGCACCAGCTAGGGGCAGCGCCTGGTCCAGCTCCAGCCGGATCCCTCCCGGCTCACCCAGCAGGACCCAGTCCACCCTAGCCCCCTCACCCTGGCAGCAGAGAATGCCGTCTTCCTTGAGAGCAGTCTTCATGAGCTGGTAGTAGGACTCCTTAAAGAGGCTCTCAGCAGGACCTGCAGAGGCAGGGGGACAAGCACCACGGGACACGGCCTGAGCCTGCCTCTGGGGGCATGAGGGCCACTCTCACCCCAAGATACACATCCACACAGCCACCAGGGGGGCAGAGCTGGGAGTTGAAGCCAGGCCTGTGGAACTCAGAAACCAACCACGAAGAGGGTGCTTTGGAGGGGTGCAGAGATCCGGTGCCCCAATGTGAAGGACTCCATGTTTTAACTCCATTCCTGGGGGATCTTGTCAGCACTGCATCAGGGCAGTCTCCACCCTGGGCCTTGGTTTAAGACTATATCCTGTGGAACTTCCCTGGTAGTCCAGTGACTAAGACTCTACATTCCTAATGCAGGGGGCTCAGGTTTGATCCCCAGGTGGGGAACTAGATCCCACGTGCTACAACTAAGACCCAGCACAGCCAAATAAAAATAAGTGTTAGAAAAGAAAAAAGATGAGATCCCTGCACACACCCTGACACTGGCCTGTCAGGGGCAGAGAGGAGGCTGAGGAGGAAACTGGGGCCTCAGTGGACCAAGGCCCCACTCTCCTCCAGGCTCTCAGCCAACTCTGGGCAGTAGCCTAGTGCCCCTACTCTGCTGAGCCATGTTTGAGGTGGTAGGTGACACCTTAGAAGGGAAAAGAGCCGCACTAGTTCTGGAGGGCCCCTCCATCCTCTATTCTGCAACTCGGGCTTGGGACACAGAGGGGAACGCTGGCCTCCCCTCTGGTGGCTGCCAGAAGCTCCAGGCCAACCCTGCTTACCCATGGGATCTGAGGAGTCAGTGATGATGACATCGAAGGCGTCCTGGTTTTGTTTCATGAACTCAAAACCATCACCCACGTGTAGGGTCAGCTTTGAGCTGGAGTAGCCAATGGCCATGCTGGGCAGAAACTTCTTGGAGACTTGAATGACATCCTGGGGAGGGGATGGGAGGGAACATGTTAGGCCACAGGGGTTGTGGAACCCGGAGCCAGAGTTGAGTGGGACCCCTTCTCAGAGCCTGATTCACCTTAGACAAACCATTCCTTTGTGGAACCTCAGTTTGCATATCTGTATACAGCAGGGAGCAGCTTGGTACCTCCCCTTCTCAGAGGGCTGACTCCCACCAGCAGCTTGGCCCACACCTCCACCACCCCTGCTCCCCCTCCCCAAACCCAACAGCCCCAGGAGAGTGGTTTCTTTGCTATTTCAGAGGGCTGGAATTCCACCTGGCCTGTATGCCTTACTACACACACCTTTATCAGATAACCCTTTGACTCCTAAGTTGAATGTCAACTCCAAGGAGGCAGGGACTAGACCTGCCGATGCACCAGTGAACCCGGCACCTAAATGCTCACGAAAGGTTAAGCAACTTGCCCGGAGGTAAACAGTCAATTCAGGGCAAACTGGGACTTGAACCCAGACCCACCCAGCTGTGCGCTCACCTCGTCAATCTCGCACTGGACCACGGACTCCACAGAGGAATGCTTGACCACCTCCCGCAGGACGCCTCCATCCCCGCCCCCAATGATCAGCACCTGCCAAGTTGAGGAAGAGTCAGCCAGGAGCGGGGCATGAGCCCAACCAAACAGGCTCCAGCGGAGTTAAGTGGCCGGGCTCTCTGCCCCCTAAACTGCACTGAGCAGACAGAGCTCCCTGGAACAATTTCTCAGGCCCCCTGTGTCACAAACCTAATCATTTCATAGTCCACTTTGTCCCCTTTTCCTGGGAACTCCTGCCAAGGCTGCTCCATCTCAAGCTTCAGGCCTCAGCTCGGGTGTTAGCCCCCACTCTAGGCCCCTCGTCCTCCGCTATCACTTCTCTGACAACCCTTTGGGGAGGGCTGAGCACTGGACACTCCTGGGGCCCCCAGCACTGTTCTGGGGGGCTATCCCTGGGCCCAGGGCTGGATCTAGCTGGGATGGGGTACCTTGCGTGGGTTGGGGTGGCTGCAGAGGGGCAGGTTGGCGATCATCTCCTGGTAGGAGAACTCGTCCCTCTCGGTGCACTGGATAACGCCGTCCAACACCAGCACATTTCCGTAGCTCTTACTGAGGGCGGGAGTGACAGTCAGCGACCTGGGCTCCTCGGGAAGGGGGCAACGTGCCCCCCACTCGCCCAGGGTGAGAAGAATCTCTCCCAACCTGCCGAGGGGGCTCCAGGGGTGAGTCCGGGGGGTGACACGTGGCGAGGATCGGCGGGCGGGCCCGCTGGGTGGAGGCTGGACGCGGGGTCCCGGCTCTGACGTGTCCGGGACTGACACGTGGAGCTCGGCGCAGCGGGTCGGCGCAGATTCCGGCTCCCTCCCCGCCGAGGAGGACCGCCCGAAAAGCCGGTCCCCAGCCCAGCGAGAAGGATGCGGGTTGGGGAGGGGACGGAGGTTAGAGACGGGCCTAGTTCACGAGAACTTCTGACAGTTTTGCCGGGGAAGGAGCGGGCAGAGACGGCCGGGGGCGTCCGGAGGTAAAGCGCGCAAGACAGGGGTCAGGCAGGAAGAGGGTCGGGCCGGGCCGAGCCCAGGGCTGGAGTGCCGGCGGGAGGGCGGGCGGTGCGGGGCGCGGGCCCGGGACTGCAGGCCGCGCGGAGCCGCAGCACAACGGGACCAACTCCGCCCGCCGCTCGCGCGGCAACCTAACCCGGCCGGCGGGGCGGGGCCTGTTGCCAGGGGCGGGCCCCAAGCCCTCCAGTGGCGGCGCCTGTGCGCGGCGGCCCGGCGGCCCCGCCCCCTCCGGCGTCCGAGCGCATTCATTGGTCTCCGACCTGCAGCGCTGCGTCCAGTGGCTGAGGCGGGCCGTCCGTCTGCGGCAGCAGGCTAGTGCGGCAGCTTCTCTGGGCCACGTGGGGCCGGGCTCGGGGAGGCACAGACTGGCCCTAGAGGGAGCGAGGGGTACCCGACTCCGCAGGGGAAACCTGAGCTGACATCTCGGGCCCGGAGCGGCGTGTTCGATCGCGGAGAAGTCAGGGCTGCCGGCTTGAACCTTTGGGCTGGAAACACTGGACCGGGTGGCTACACTCTCGAAAGAAGAGTTAACGTTGTTTCGCTTTAGCTAGAGTAGAATGTATCATCTTTACCGCGTACGCAGATTTGGGTCCGTGTTGGACTTAAGCAAAGCAGTGTGCTTGGTCGGGGGCACAACGAGGGTTTTATTTACTTCAGAAGAGCCATCACAGCCCCAGGACTTAAGCTCGATTTAGGCATTTCTCCTTAGATTCTCTGATCCTTGGGCGTATGGCTGCTGAATGAGAAAGAGTTCTTTTCTAAACGAGTTTCTAAATTTACCAGCAGTGTCCCGGAAGAGGCCAACACATGCATATTCAGCACCAAAAAAGACTGGCACACAGGGTTTTTGTTTTGTGGGTTTTTTTTTTTTTTTGACAAACTGGGCCTGGCTCCTTGAAAGGTGGGCGGGAATGTGCTTTCTGATTCTGTGAAAATGTCAAGGAACTTTTCTGAATCACATTAAGCATGCTAATTACCAAATATTAAATGCTAATTGCTGTACATGCTTAGTTCTTCGCATGCCAGGGCAGGGAGGTGAAACTGGTATAAGCCACGGGTGACATTATGACAGGGGTGTTTTTTTGAGGGACTTTTTGTAATGCTGAAAGCTCAGCTTCTCTGTATACTGGGGCAGAATCAAATCTCAGAGACAGTTTTGGGTGGTACTTCACCCAAATACTATACCTTTTCTACTGGAAAGGGTAGCTTTCTTTCTTCGCCAGGTAAAGGGGGATACAGAGGATTCATGCCCTCAAAACCATGTGTCCCCAACTTGGGGAAGACAGTGACGAGTTTTCTAGGCACTGTTTAAAGAGGGCATGATCAGCTCGTGGACATTCTTCTAATAGGTTGGTGGTGAAGTAAGTAGGAGTCCACATCGTCAACCTTCAAGTCAAACTGGTATGAGGTCCATGTGCTTGTGGGCAGCATCAGTTCAGTTCAGTTGTTCAGTCATGTCCAACTCTTTGTGACACCATGGACTGCCGCACGCCAGGCTTCCCTGTCCATCACCAACTCCCAGAGCTTGCTCAAACTCATGTCCATCAAGTCAGTGATGCCATCCAACCATCTTATCCTCTGTCATCCCCTTCTCTTCCTGCCTTCAGTCTTTCCCAGCATCAGGGTCTTGTCTAAGGAGTCAGCTCTATGCATCAGGTGGCCAAAGTATTGGAGCTTCAGCTTCAGCATCAGTCCTTCCAATGAATATTCAGGACTATTTCCTTTAGGATTGACTGGTTGGATCTCCTTGCAGTCCAAGGGACTCTCAAGAGTCTTCTCCAAAACCACAGTTCAAAAGCATCAATTCTTCAGCAATCAGCTTTCTTTATGGTCCAACTCTCACATCTGTGCCTACTGGAAAAACCATAGCCTTGACTAAATGGACCTTTGTTGGCAAAGTAATGTCCCTGCTTTTCAATATGCTGTCAAGGTTGGTCATAGCTTTTCTTTCAAGGAGCAAGTATTTTTCATTTCATGGCTGCAGTCACCATCCACAGTGATTTTGGAGCCCAGGAAAATAAAGTCTGCCACTGTTTCCATTGTTTCTCCATCTATTTGCCATGAAGTGATGGGATCGGATGCCATGATCTTAGTTTTCTGAATGTTGAGTTTTTTCTCCAGCTTTTTCACTCTCCTCTTTCCCTTTGATCAAGAGGCTTTTCTTTGCTTTCTGCCATAAGGGTGGTGTCATCTGCTATCTGAGGTTACTGATATTTCTCCTGGCAATCTTGATTCCAGCTTGTGCTTCATCCAGCCTGGCATTTCGCATGAGGTATTCTGCATAGAAGTTAGATAAGCAGGGTGAAAATATACAGCCTTGATGTACTCCTTTCCCAATTTGGAACCAGTCCGATGCTCCATGTCCAGTTCTAACTATTGCTTCTTGACCTGCATACAGATTTCTCAGGAAGCAGGGAAGGTGGTATGGTATTCCCATCTCTTGAAGAATATTCCACAGTTTGTGGTGATCCACACAGTCAAAGGCTTTTGCATAGTCAACAAAGCAGAAGCAGATGTTTTTCTGGAAGCAGATGTTTTCTCTTGCTTTTTCTATGACCCAGTGGATGTTCGCAACTTGATCTCCGGTTCCTCTGTCTTTTCTAAATCCAGCTTGAACAACTGGAAGTTCTCAGTTCACGTACTGTTGAAGCCTTCCTTGGAGAATTTTCAGCATTATTTTGCTAGTGTATGAGGTGAGTGCGATTGTGCGGTAGTTTGAACATTCTTTGGCATTGCCTTTCTTTGGCATTGGAATAAAAACTGACTTTTTCCAGTCCTGTGGCCACTGCTGAGTTTTCCAAATTTGCTGGCATATTGAGTGCAGCACTTGACCAGCATCATCTTTTATGACTTGAAATAGCTTAACTGGAATTTCATCACCTCCACTAGCTTTGTTCGTAGTGATGCTTCCTAAGGCCCACTTGACCTCACATTCCAGGATGTCTGGCTCTAGGTGAGTGATCACACCATCACGGTTATCTGGGTCACTTTTTTGTATAGTTCTTCTGTGTATTGTTGCCACCTCTTCTTAAAATTTTCTGCTTCTGTTAGGTCCATATCATTTCTGTCCTTAATTGTGCCCATCTTTGCATGAAATGTTCCCCTGGTATCTCTAATCATCTTGAAGAGATCTCTAGTCTTTCCCATCCTATTATTTTCCTCTATTTCTTTGCACTGATCACTGAGGAAGGCTTTCTTATTTCTCCTTGCTATTCTTTCAAACTCTGCATTTAGATGGGTATATCTTTCCTTTTTTCCTTTGCCTTTCACTTCTCTTTTCTCAGCTATTTGTAAGGCCTCCTAGACAACCATTTTGGCTTTTTGCCTTTCTTTTTCTTGGGGATGGCTTTTATCACTGCCTTCTGTACAATGCCACAAACCTCTGTCCATATTTCTTCAGGTACCCTGTCTATCAGATCTAATCCCTTGAATCTATTTGTCACTTCCACTGCATAATCATAACAGATTTGATTTAGGGCATACCTGAATGGTCTAGTGGTTTTCCCACTTTCTTCAATTTAAATCTGAATTTGGCAATAAGGAGTTCATGATCTGAGCCACAGTGAGCTCCTGGTCTTGTTTTTGCTGACTGTATAGGGCTTCTCCATCTTTGGCTGCAAAGATGACTTGCAATCAATCTGATTTCAGTATTGGCCATCTGGTGATGTCCATGTGTAGAGTCTTCTCTTGTGTCGTTGGAAGAGGGTGTTTGCTATGACCAATGCGTTCTATTGGCAAAACTCTACTAGCCTCTGCCCTGCTTCATTCTGTACTCCAAGGCGAAACTTGCCTTTACTCCAGTTATCTCTTGACTTCATCCTTTTACATTCCAGTCCCTTATGGTGAAAAGGACATCTTTTTTTGGTGTTAGTTCTAGAAAGTCTTTTAGGTCTTCATAGACCTGTTAAATCCTGTTTCCCTATCCCTGTGGGCAGCATACCATTGTTAATCACTAACTTCTCCCTCCTGGAGGGGGTTTCCATATCTGCAAAATAGATCAAAGATAATGTTGTCTACTGGAGATATGCTACTGGAGATCAGTGGAGAAATAACTCCAGCAAGAATGAAGGGATGGAGCCAAAGCAAAAACAACACCCAATTGTGGATGTGACTGGTGATAGAAGCAGGGTCCAATGCTGTAAAGAGCAATATTCCATAGGAACCTGGAATGTTACGTCCATGAATCAAGGCAAATTGGAAGTGGTCAAACAGGAGATGGCAAGAGTGAACGTCGACATTCTAGGAATTAGCAAACTAAAATGGACTGGAATGGGTGAATTTAACTCAGATGACCATTATATCTACTACTGTGGGCAGGAATCCCTTAGAAGAAATGGAGTAGCCATCATAGTCAACAAAAGAGTCTGAAATGCAGTACTTGGATGCAATCTCAAAAATGGCAGAATGATCTCTGTTTGTTTCCAAGGCAAACCATTCAATATCATGGTAATCCAACTCTTTGCCCCGACCAGTAACGCTGAAGCTGAAGTTGAACGGTTCTATGAAGACCTACAAGACCTTTTAGAACTAACACCCAAAAAAGATGTCCTTTTCATTATAGGGGACTGGAATGCAAAAGTAGGAAGTCAAGAAACACCTGGAGTAACAGGCAAATTTGGCCTTGGA